TCTTCTTTAATAGCCGTACTCTTTATTTTATGGTTGCGTCTTTTCTTTGGGCAATATTGAGTAGTGTGTTTAGGTTCTCTACAATATAAGCACAATCCTTCCTAATGTTGATGAGTCTTTTCTTGCTCAGTAATAGGTTTGAACATACCGCATTAATTTGCATATCCTCTATAGGAAGAGATGAAACTTGTTTTCTTCTTGATATATCCATTGTCTTGTATGGTTCAAGGAGAGACATATAAAATACTAGATGGATTTTTATTGACTCTCATAGGTATAAATGATATGCAACTAGATTGATTTGTGCAGAAATAGAAAATGGTCCAAGCTTTTGATAGTCCAACTTGTCACAAAGACGAGTGGTTTTGATATTGTGACAAAGTAACCATATCTTGTCATCTATGTAGAATGGTGGTTGTTCCTTTCGATAGACATCCGCATTGATGTTTTATTATTTTTGAGATTCTTTTAATTGTGCTTTCATTGTGTATGTAGCTCTGACAAATAGTTTGTCAAATTTTTTGCCGTAGGATTATCAACTTTTGAAAAGTTAAAAGTAACAAGTCGTCGATGATAACCATAATTGACTGAAGAAGTCCGTAAGTATCAAGTCATCGATGATAATCGTAAAATCAATGACGAAGAGTTTTTGATCTTGAACAAATATCACAAGATTGTACAAAATCTTTGACCGCCATCCACTTTTGGGGCCACAAAAAATCCTTGGATATTAGTTCCAAAGTTTTATTGTACCCAAAATATCCTGCTACTCGAAAGTCATGACGATCTTGAAAAATACGTAATCGAGCTTCACCTTCTGGAACATATAAGCATCCCTTAAAATATAGTAGATTGTTTTTGAATTCAAACTTCGAAGTATCATGAGACTTTGATGGGTTTTCCTTAATATCATGAATAAGAGGATGAGAAGAAATACTTGACTGAATTTGCTTAATGAAAGTTGAATCAATAGTTAGGGTTGATTTCATTACTCGAAGACGAAAATGCTCTCGCTTCAAGAGAATTTTCCGTTGCTGATGAAAAATAGCATCTCCTTCCTTTGGTGCAAGGTAAGATCATCTAGAGAGTACATTTGACAAACCTTGTTATTTTTCTAGTCAATAAGTCACCTTGAATTCGAATCTTGATAAAGACATAGTCCAACGGGTTTGGCGACGATTCAAAACATGTGCTGACATAAAATATTTGAGGATCTTGTGATCCGTATATACAGTGATAGATCATAGTTAGATAATATATATAGAGGGAAGAGTGAAGCAATCTTCACTTTATTAAATTCTTTCATACTTCTACTCTAGTTTTAAGAATTTCTAATTTTTTTTATCTTTTCACAATAGTCATTCTAATTTTTTCTTATATATATATATATATATATATATATATATATATATATATATTATCAACTTTCTTTGAAAAGCATCTCACTTATTTATTCAAATTTATTAATATTTATCCTTGATAAATTCTTAATAATTAATAAAACTATTAAAAATAGATATTATATTTAATAGAATAAAAAAATAATATATTTGAATATAATATAAAGGCATCAATAATGATCAAATGATTGAATGAGCTTTTATCTGAAAATAGAATATTATTGATGGTTAAAAGGACTTATAAATTACACTTGTGTGGAACAAAGTTCAAAATTTGTTCTTAATACCATTCAATAGATCTTGGACTTTATGAATTTATGAAATAATGAAATAATTCTATGTTAAATTTATTATTTATAAAAAGAAATAATATAATAAATATCTATATTTATTAATATATTTACTCAAATAAGTATCAATAGATAGAAGTAAGTATAAAAAGATTAAATTATTGTACACATAAAAACTTGTCCTACAAATTAAAAATATGTTCCATAAGTTGGACATCTGTTATATAGCATGTAGAATAGTGTCATATAATTCTTTAGTAAATAGTCTTCTTCATTCTTATCCATACATTTCTTATATTATATCTTGCTTCAAGACTTCTTAGTCTTTTTGCATTGGATAGTAGTCATTTCAATTTTAATTCTATAACTATCTTTTAATTGTTTATTTTTTCATTTTTAGTAATATAAGAGTTTATTCTTATTTTTTAGAATTTTGTTGTAATTCATGTCTTTAGCATGTAGTCCTTAAAAAGCTTATATAAGATCTTTTTGATAGCTAGTAATATGGAAGTAAAATTGAATCTATCTTTAATATTATTAATGTCTTTTTTATACTTGAATCTTATTTCAAGGCTCTTTAGTTCTTTTATAGTTAGCAATAGCCATTATATATCCTATTCTATTTTATTTATATTCTTTCTTTGTTTATTTTCTTCATTTAAATGATTTAAGAATATATTTTCTTTTCAAATTTAAATTATAGATTTTTTTATTTTTGACATATAAATTACAAAACTACAATTGTATAAATTTTATTTCTTATAAATATCATAATCAAAATATATATTGTATTTTAAATTATAAAGATATTTTAAAATATATATATATATTTAGAAGCATCTACTTACTTTATATTATCTCTAAATCTTAAAGATTAAAATTCTTTTACAATCACTACTAATTGTTTAAAATTACATTAGATTTTTTACATAGTATCTTTAAATACTTTAATAGGAATTTAAAAAATATTCTATAAATTATTTTATTTTTGTAAATATATATTTTTAATGAATCTATAAAAATAATTGATAAAAATATAAATATAAATAAATAAATAAAATATAATAAAGTACCTTTATACATTCAAAATTATCCTAAAGAAATTTATAATATGGATTATTTTGAATAATAGTAATATCATTTTTAGATTTTATTAAAAAATATGCCAAAAAATTATAAATTATTCTTAATATAGATATAAGATTAAGTATTAATCTTTTAAAAAAATCATTACATATTTGCTATAGTATAAAACTAGAAAAAAAATTAAATTGACCTAGATAATTCTTAAAACAATCTACCTTTCTTCTAGCTATCATGTATCAATTCATATATACTTCATCTATTGCACAAAGATCATCTTTGAATTATAATAAATTAGTTTTCAATATCTATCAAATACTTCTAAAGTTAATCTTAAATTAAAAAATTGGAGTCATTATATTTTAACTTTAGGATCATTTAAAATATCCACAAAGTCCTTGGCTGCTTGTCAACATTTATAAAAGAAGAAAAGATGTAAAGTGAGAAAATGTAATCTACTTTGGATTAATGAAGAATATATGACATGGTACAAAATACTAAAAGCAAAAGTGGATTGTTTTAATATCCTTCAAAATTTGGAATTGAAAATTTACATGACATATTTGAATCCTCATCATCTTTTAAAGTACTTATTACAACAAACTATAGAACAATTGAAAAACATATTCAAATTTTTATTATCAACACAATTATAAACCAAATTATATATGTTAATCAAATTATGCATTGAAAAATGGAGGTTGTTCTTTTAAATATAAGGTTTATTTCAAGTATTATACAACATTGTTTATAAAAAAAATCTTCTTGAAAATAATTCATAAATTTGTCTTAATTATAGCAAAGCCAACCACTACCTACAAAATTGCAAATTTTTTTTTTGTGAATATGTAAATGGACTTATTTACAATAAATTATAAGCTTATATATATATATATATATATATATAGATACATACATCAACTTATATAACTAAATGATATTTTCTATTAAAAGAATAGTTATTGCATTAAATTTTAATTGTAGTTTTTTCTTAAAATTTTAAATTTTTTTTTCAATAATAAGATTAGTTGTTTTTCTTATTGCCCTCCAACCATCACTAGAATCCATTTTAAAACAAAATGAAAGATATGAAGAGTCGACCTTGATAACTTCAAAATCAAGGTTATATATTGTCTTAGCATTGGAATAAGAATCCTAAGATTGAAATATACACATTCTTATTGTTGTGCAAAATGGAGGAAAAAAATTAAATAAATAAATTACATTGTCTCTTCAAAATTTAGGTTTAATAACAAATTAAACAAACCATTGATTACTTTTCCAACAAAAGGTCTTTCTTCCACATAATACACATATAACTTGCAAGGTAATGTATCTGTGTAGTACCAAAAATAGTTGTTTCTTGTGTTCATGCTAATCAAAAAGCCAGCCTAACTGCTTGCGAAACCTGTAAGCATATTGTCTCTCAGTTATGCATTGTTGAAATGTGCCAAATATAGCCTCCAATAAGTACTAAACACTATTGCCCTAAAATATTCCTCATGAAGTTCTAACTTGTCTCCAAACAAACTATTGTCTAGTTCTCCTTCGGATTGGGTCTGAAGTGTGCTTCACCAATCCTACCCTTATTCAATCTGCGTATTAGTTCGACATTGCTACCCTCACCCTACACACGAACTCATCGTGTGCTGCAATGTCCTGCGCTCTGTGGGGCAGTGCACGGCTGTTGATGCCTTGCGTGTTCGCTCTGTATGTGCTGGAACTCCGCATTGAAAGAGTGCTCGAGGGCGTCGCCTGCATTCCTTGCATCACGTTGCCATCTCTAAACCGCATCCTCTGCCACGGTTGCATTACAAAACAGTCACGACCTGGCACCGTCTCTTCGCCGAAGCGCCCTCACCCCAAACACGCGGTACCCACCTCACGACCCTGTCATCTGGCGGTTTCGGCGCCGACCCTGTAATCGATGGTCCGACGAATCCATCCTGGATAGTCTTGAATTGTCGGATTCCTCCAAGCCACGATGTCACCATTTCAACAGGTCTAGTTGACCTTCCTTCCAAGCTGAGGGAGGATGACAAGTAAATGGGTAATATTAATAGAGTGTGAACAGTTGCCCTGCAGGTGCGATGCCGATTCTGTGGAAATGCTCAACACGGGCGGCTAGCATGGCGCCGGCTGCCTGGTGAACGTGGCTGTCCTTGATCTCTTGAGTCCATCCATCGGTGATTAGGGTCTCAAGGCATCCTTCAACTCTGGTTGTGGAATCATTGTCTCATTGGATGGACGGTGTTGCTCCTTCGCATTGAGGTCTTGGCAGAATCGTGCAAGCGTAGTGATGTGCAGGTTGCAAGGGTGTAGGAGTGGAGGACCCGTGACGCAACGAGAGCTCCGGCAGCGAACCGACCGTAGGCACCGCGGCTAGCTAGTTTCTGCCTGAGCGAGGCGGAGGCAACAGAGGTGGCGTCGCGAAGATTTTGAGCTAGAGGAGTGGTGTTCGACAGGCGTGGTTCCGAGCTTCGGCATCTGGAAGCCGGGTGTTTGCAGATTAGAGCGCCGGTGGTGAGATCCAGCTGACCCAACAGGCGGTGATGCAAAACGACTTGCCCGTGCATACCGGCGGTTCTGCAAGGTGGGGGGAGGTGGAAATTCTGACGAGTTCAAAGACTAAGGAACTGGCCATAGTGTGGCGAGGTACAAGGAGGAGTTGAACAGTGGTCGGTATTGTAAGAATCGTGATTTCGAACGATATTTTCTAAGTTATAGGAATTTTTTTATTGTCTTCTCGGGCGTGGTTTACACAGCTGTGGCGAAGGCGTCTCTGCTGAAGTGCCAGAACTGGTGGACTTCGCTTCCGTTGTCCTTGTTTTCCTCGCTTGTGACCATAGCCACTGTTTTACAGAACTTTGCAAATTTGTGGGCGCTGGAAGCTACGATTGCAAGTGAAAAGGGTTCCGTCACGGTACTTCATTCTCCAACCTAATATTAAGATGCGCATGTTAGATTGACAGAAATGATGCGTGAGGCTCAGAGGGCGTTGAAACGGCCATTGAAGGAAGACGGTTTCACCGGCCCCAATTATGGATGTGTGAAAGTTGCCATGGAAGAATCTGCACTGCTTTCACGAAAGCCTGACGCTGATGGATTTGCTGAGATGTCAGAATTGCTGAGTATGTTCGGATTGCACTTGTGCGTACAGGTATCGAAGGTGAAGATTAACAGTGTGAAACTGAGGGTTGAGCGCAGATTTACCAATTTCGTCAAACACGCCAGAGATGGTCCGGAAGCCGTGATCTTCAAACCAGCGGTAGCTGTCCAGTAGTTTAGGTTTGTCGTCATTATTGTGTTGCTGGGTTCTTCCGCCATTTTTATAGTGTCCGCTGGAAGATTCTCTGCGTAAGAGGCCCTGCAGCATATCCAAGGGAACTCGGAGATATACCAGCTACGGAAAGTGCCCGGCATTGGATCCTGGTAATGCCAGTGAGCACTTTCCTCTCCATTCACCCAAGTGCAACACTTCCAGATCTTTAGAGGTGGGTTTGTAGGGAAGTGTATGAGTTAGGTTGATGTCCTGGCTGTAGATCATATTAGTGCTTGTTGCGATCTTGTGAGGGTTAATTTTACGCAGTAAGTTGTGACCATGGGCTCCACCGAGATCATCAATAAGACCAGCCAGTCAGTGACTCTCAAGGTTGGCAACAACTCCGTGTTTACGGATTTGAGCGTGTTGAGGCCGGGCGATTCATACAAAGTTTACGTTGATCCAAATGCCACGTACCAAGAGTATTATATGGGCAAGGACCGCACCGGCGGAGTACTATTAATAAGCTCCGATGACTGTATTGACAACAAGTCTATCACGATCGTGGAAGAGGCAAACGGCAGCTACACTCTTCAGAAGCAGTCCAGGGCATCGAATGCTAATAGAAGTGGTTCACCAGCGGTGTCAGCTGCTGACTCCAACAGCAGTAGGTCAGTCGGCAAGTCTTCCAGATTGTCGGGTCTCTTCAAAATTTTTAGTTTCAGGCAGTAACAATATTGTGTGTGGGAACGGATTGCCGAATGCCTCGACGTTGCTCAGGTTGCGGGGTAGCTCTGCAATCACTTACAAGGTCTGGGTTCCCCGCGCTTGACGGTATCCTCTACCTAGTTTGTTCCCGGTAACATGCTGTGCAGTTTGTCATTACATTCACCGCAGTTAGAAATAAAAGTTATAAACTCAAAAAGCATTAAACTAATGTGTTTTAAATTTTATTTCTTTTTAAAAAATCACAAGATCCAGTAAATTTAATTAAACTACCTATCACATACTCTAATATACTCCCATCAATCCCAAATTATACTTAAAAAAAATCTATAAAATCTAAAATTGACACTTAAGATTTTATATATATATATATATATATATATAATTCCAATTTATTTAAGCAATTGATAAAATCCAAGGACTGCATTGTTATATATTTTATTTAAATATGAGTGTATTCCTGTAATGTATAGGAAATACAATTATGATTTTTTCACAATTATGTCTTTAAAAATCATGTGATATAAAAGAATTTCTCATTATGTCATAAAGAATAATTTAGATAATATGTGATAAGTATGTAATAATTTTTTATTTTTATTTTTATTTTTAAACGAATCCAAGGAAAATTTTAATTAAAAAAAAATTAGGTTTAAATGTTACTTTTCTTTAAAATATGATGAAAAAAGCTTTCAATTATGTGTATGGATTTCTTAAACAAAAAATTAACTAAAACATATTAAAAGGTTTGCAACATTCTATTGCAATCAAGTATTAACATTATTGATACTGTTATTTTGTGTGATGATATAATGAAATTATTATATACTAAATGTAATTTATCAGAAACCAAGTTACAACTTTTTAAAACAAAGTAAAATAAATAGTAACTTGTGGTGTTGTAGAATGAAAAAATAATATAGAATAAAGAAAAAAAAGGGAATACCAAGGATTATGTATCTTTCTGTACAGGTAATTCTCTTATTTTTTATTCAAAAAACATATTTTTTTATTTCTAAAAAACCAATTTTTTTATTAGTGTTTTATGTTTTTCGTTGTTATCATCAACGTGTTAAAATGATAAATAAATCGTCAATCTACTATAAAAGTTTATTTTAGTATCATTATGAAGCTTGCAAATTTGCAAAATTGTTGCAGTATTTTCCGTTTTAATGTCAGTATCTCTATTATTATTTTTTTGTGCAATATTGCAAAAAATCTGATTGATGTATACAATTGATACCAACGCATACGATTTGTGTAATAGAAAACACAATAAATTATATTAAAGGACACATGTTACAAGAGAACTTGCAGCCATCTCGTGTAAAAAGTTGTGCAACATACAGGACAATCTTCAAAAGCAACAAAAACCACCAACTGCATCAAAACAAAGTAGGCACAACTGGCAACTGCAATTGTTACATGTTAGGTGGAAGTGATGGGACAACTGATTCTGCCCATGCTGAAAACCGAGCCTAAGCCAAATCAACAACAAATAGAAGTGGCAAAATGACCAGTCAGCCATGCTCAAGATGAAATATATGGTAACCATAAGTGGTTTAACAACATGCCTTGTCATGTTCACCAAGCACTGCGGCAAAGGTCCAGAACAATCATCCACAAATACCAAGACTATTACGAGCAAAGAGTCCAACATGTGAACCAACACCAATTCTAGAATACAAACAACAACACCAATTCTAGAATACAAACAACAACACCAACACCACAAATCACGCCAAGATCAGAAGAAAATGCCCACATTTCCAAAAACAAAAAGGATATGCCATTGCAGGTGTCGGGGAACAGAATAGTGAGCTGCCAACAGTTGCAAGAATCCAACGCACACTTCAAAATAAACACAATGGAAGCAATTTAGGGCAGTAAAAAGTCGATAAGCAGAGACCGGCATCAAACCAACGGGCAGAAGGTTGAGAGCGTCGTGGCAGGGGCCCCGAGGACCGGATGAATGAGATTCAATCCGATGAAGGAAACCAGTCGGAGTGGGTATCCCCTCCATCAGCACAAGCCGACGAAAACATCTGTAAAATCGCCCACACCATCGTGGGTGCTTCCAGATTGTCGGACTTTCTATGTCATCATTACACCATGACAAACATAACCATTTCTCAAGTTGCCAAACCTCCGACGACCGTGCCCCTACCCCATAGACTTTACAAATGGATACATATGATAGTCTTGTCCTCGAGATGCCAGATTCCGTCGGGAAGGATCCGACGCGGGTGGCGAATGTAGCGCCATCTTTTTCGCAAAGGTGACCATTCTGTATATTTGAAGTGAGTCCATTAGTAGAGTGGCTTTCAAAGCAACTTTCTAGAACGGGTGTTCGCTTAATGTCAGCACAATGGAGAATGGTACTCCTGCGCATGGAGATCTAGGGAGCAATGCGCAGGTGCAGTCACGCCCAGTTTGCAAGAGTGTAGTGGTAGAGGAGGAGCTGCCAGAAAACGGGAGCTCTGGTAACGTGGCTCGCGTGGGCACCGCGACGGTTTTATTCTCGACCGAGCGAAGCGGAGTGGGAGTTGCAGGTTCGTCGGTTTCGAGCCAGGGGAGTGACACTCTTGAGCCGCGGTTCCGAGGTTCGACATCTGAAACCCGGGAGTTTTCAGGTGAGATCCAGCTGACCCAACCAGCGAGGAACCATCACCACGTTAGCGTAGATATCTGTGAACCTGCGGAGGCGGGTGGAGATCCTGACGATGACCCTCAAATTGCACTCAAAATTGCAAACAACTTAGCAGAGTTGAATAGTGGAAGGCATCCTAAGTTGAAGTTGGCGTTCGACGACTGGGAGGAGTCATTCGGTTTGCACCAGAAGCGTCGCGAGTACAAAGAGTCGCGAAGAGATGCGGTTCGGAACGAGATTTACCAAGTTATTGGATTCTATGTAGTCTTTCAGGGCGTAATTTTCACGGCTGTGGCACAGGCGTCTATGCTGAGGTGCCAGAATTGGTGGACTTCATTCCTGTTGTCCTTGTTGACGTCGCTCGTGACCGCAGCAGTTGTTATTCAGAAGGTGACGGATTTCTGGGCGCTGGAGAAAACAATTGCAGATGAAAAGAACGCCATCAAGGTACTTCGTTCTCAAATCTAAACCTAATGTTAGAGTTGGTAGACTACATCGGTAGAATTGATGTGTGAGGCTATGGTTGAGCGGGACTTTGGCAGCTTTGCGAAAGCACTGAAGCGTCTATTGAAGGAAGAAGCTTTCAATGGCCCCAAAGATTGATGTGTAGAAGTTCTATGGGGCAATCTGCACTGCTCCCGCACAAGAATGGCGTTGATGAATTTGCTGAAATGTCAGAATTGCTGAGTTTGATCGGGTTCCAATTTTGTGTGCAGATTTACAAAGAAAGGATCAACAAAGTGAAATTGTGGATTGGGCCCAGTAAATTCAATTTCTCATCACACGCCAGAGACGGAACTCCCAGGACTATTCAAAAATTGGAACTCTCTGTTCGGATATATGGAATTACCGCCTTCGGTGTGTTGGCTGTTTTCTCCGCACTTTTCCTAATTTCCAGCTGGAGGATTCTCTGCATACCAGGGCCTCAAGCATAACCAGGTTAACTCGGAGATAGGCCAGCTATGGAGACTATCCTCCAACGGCTCTAAGTAAGCTTCTTCTCAATTCACAGTTGTGCAATAGTTCCAGATATGTAGAAGTGAGTTTGTAAGAACATAAGTTAGGTTTAGGTCTTGCCTGAAGAACACATCAGTACCTGTTGCGATCTTCTAAGGGGTTAATCCTACCCAGTAAGTTGTGACCATGAGCTCCACCGAAATTAGCAGTAGGACCTCCGAGACACTGAAGCTCAAGGTTGCCACCATCTCGTGCTCACGGATTTGACCGTGTTGGAGCCGGGCGTGTCATACAAAGTTCACGTTGATCCAAATACCACATACCAAGATTATTATACGGGCAAGGACTGCAACGGGGGGCTTCTAATGATAAGCTCCGATGACTGTGTTGACAACAAGTATGTCACAATCATCGAGGATGCGGGCAGCAGCTACACTCCTCCGAAGCGCCCCAGGAGAGCGCATACTAATCCACTGGGTGTAACAGCGGTAGCAGATGTTTCCTCCAGTGACAGTGGGCCAGTCAGCAAGAGTCTGTTGAAGATGATCATTATCCGGCAGTAACTAGGAAGTGTGGCAACGGGTTATTGAATGGGACGCCATAGTTTGGAAGTACAAGTGTCAGTTAGTATAGTTTGTTCCGACATTTAGACCCCGAGTTCCTAGAACCGAAGCCGGACATGATAGCTTCTCTGGAGTCGAGTAATCACAGCGGATTATGTTTCTTCAGCATTCGTTTGTAGACACAGACGACTGTGAGTCAAGCGAAGGGCGCATGCGCTCTCAGTTGAGTCTGAAGTTGTGCGTCCAGGTCTAAACGAATATGAACTTGTATTCACTGTGAATAGTGGTGAACGAAATACATGATAACAGTTTTGGTGTGCACATTGCAGTGTATTGAACATGTTCATCGGGTCTGAACAAAAAGAGATGGTTAACGTAGAGATTCAACACATGGTGCAACAGAGTGTGTGCAAATGGCGGCATGCCGTCGAGTAAGATTTTCTGTGGTGCCCCAGCTCGTGGACACCGGATTTCAATCACCATAACAGCAGGATTGTTTGCAACATGGAAGGAAATTCCGTTCAGATAGACGTCGGAGTGTGTAACTGTGGCTGGTAGAGGTGACTGTGTTCTCAAGCAATCGTTCGGCCTGTTTGCTCCACCTGCACACCAGCAGACAAGACATGGAAATGTGAGCGATTCACCTACTGCGGTCAGTCTTGGGCTGCAGTGTAAGGAGCTCAGAGTAATTTCTCATGCGCACATAGGAGCAAAGAACACAGCTTGCAGAGCAGCGAAACAATGCGGAGAACGCATAATTTGAGATGACGTATTTGTGATTTTGTAGTGAGCAGCCTGGTGGAACTGAAACACAGAAAGGGATTTTGAGCTTGGAAGTGTGGACTTTCACAGCAGTGACGGTGAAGTTCGGAGATAATTGACTGAACTCGCAGGCCTGGATGCTGGTCAGATGGCGGGCTTCAGCATTACTGAGCACCCTACTCTTGATTTTGTTTACTGTTGTGAAGAGTATGTCACGTCTATGTCGTTTTTCCTTCCCCAGTATGCTTTCAGGTTTCGCCTCAAGCCCTCGCTTCGTTCCCGATTTTCTTTGCAGTTCTCATTTTCGGACTGTAGGATTTTATGCGGCACTGTGTGTACCACAGAGGTGGGCAGCGTTCGTCGGCGGGAGGTGTGGAGGTCTTGGTCGGCATTTTGACAGTGTCGTGTGATGAATGTAGTATTTGTTCTTACCTTCTTCGGTTGATTGTTTGCCTAATCATGATGAGGATGAATCACGGGAGCTTGTAATCGGTTTGTTTTCGGTTGATGCCAAGCAGACAGCTGTGCCGTGCAGTTTTGAATATGACTGGTGGACGCAATGTCCTCATAGCAAGGGTTTTGATTTGATGACTCACACCTAGGCCACGTTGGATTCCACATCGCCACCAAAATAGCATCAGAAGGCAACAACTATGGTATCCCAACTTTCACCCCAGAACCTTTCAATTGCCAATACTGCCTTACTGGGAGGCCAACTAGAAAATCGATCCCAACAAATCAACAACAATATTAACTCATTAGAATTAGTTCCTGCAGACATCTGCAATCCCCTTCTAATTCCCTCTATAGCAAGAAATTTGTATTTCCTCTTATTTGTGAATGACTGGCAAAAAAGTGTGGATTTATTTTTGGTGATAAAAGGTCAAGCGAGAAAATTTGTGAATTCAAAAATATGTTGGAGAAACAAATAATCATGACTCCTTTATAATTTGAATTCATTCTTAGAACTATTTATGGCCATATTTGGAGAAAGTCATAAAGAAAAGGTAGTAGAAATCAAACTCTTATCTTTAGAAAAAAAATCATGGTCAATTATTAGATATATTGCTAGACCCCAAAACTTCACTTGCAATGTGGATTGGAATGACAAAATCTTTATCAATCAATTTTGATATAGGTTTAAAAATAATATCAAAGATTTTTTTTATTTCCAATGCCAAAAGTAGAATCTTTGGAATAATTTATTGCTTAGGCCATTACATACAGCAATTGATAATTTAAAAAAGGTCAAGAACAAAGATTTGATTGAAGAGGAATAAGTGAGGTAATGATGGCAACTCTTAAATTTTTAGAAACTTATTCATCAATGCCATAATCAATTCAAATTGATATGATATGTTTTAAACCTCTTATTGAATAAGAAAAGACTTATTGTTGTTAAGAAGGTTTGTACCTACTTTGTAGAGAATCCAAATACACTATTCAACATTGTCTAGAGAAGCAATATAATCACAAAATAAAGAGTATGATTGCCAAAGGAGACAATGAGTTGAAAAACAAGACTTTTTAGTTATAATAGGAATCATGTGGCTGAAATCTTATATAATTCTAAGTAAAGGTCATATTCTTTCCTTAAATCCTTCATCTTGCTTTATAATAGATACGTATTTAGGATAAAAATATCACAAAGTTTTAGTCTTGTTGGATTTAAAAGCTCCAATCTGTTTTATAGACAAAGACTTTGTCAAAAAATAAAATATATCTTTAATTAAGAAAACCAAACTTTTGCATGTAGAAGTATTAAATAATCATTTATTGTCTTTTGAGATGTTATATATGAAACTATTCTTATAGAAATAAAAACTAGAGGTCATATTAGTTGAATAATATTTAATGTGATTAAATCTCCTTTTAATTCAATTATTATAGGATTATTGTGGTTCAAAAGGTATAACTTTCAAATAGATTAGATTTCTTGCAATCTTCATATTTTTCATAGTTTAGTCCAAGATTTTGTTAGGCAAATAGAAACTGATAAGATTGATATATCCAAACTATTATTGATAGATGTAAGAATTTTCATACATATTGCAAAAGAAAGATCAAATTTTGTTATATATGCCACACATATTGTTGATGGAGAAAAGATTTCAAGTAGCATTTTAAGTGTGAGTCCTACCAATACATCTTAATTGATGAATTAGTTAAAAATATAGTTTGAAGCCATTTTATTATATAAATATTAAGGTTGATTTTTTTTTTTTGACTATTTAAGTATTTATTAGAATTTAGAAGTATTTGTAAGTTACAAAAGACTCATTAGAAGAAAAGTTATAAAAATAGAATCTTAATAAGTCTTTGAAGCAATTATCTTAGTTGATTTAGTATTTTTATCTATTATTAAATATTAAAGATTAGTCATTGAAACCAATATCTTCATTGGCTTTTTATCTACATATATTACTTATAAAAATCTTATCAATGTTTAATTAGTAGTTAGAAGAAGTATAAAAAAGAACTTTATGTCTTTTCAATTAATTATATAGATAATAAGATTTTTAGTGGATTTAAATTGATTTTATTATTATAAAATATTACTAAGATAAGAAAATATAATCTTAAAAGAATATTAGTATTAAAAAAATATTATAAGACTTTTTAGGATTTAATTAGAATTTATTTAGAATTATTTAGGAAATTTTAGAGAAGATTTTAAGACTTTGGTAAAATTGAGTTTTACCACCTTGGGAGCCATTATGAAAATATGGAATAAGATTTGAAGGCCATACAAGGTTCTTAGGCTATTTGGGTATTTTTTAAGACCATCAAGAAGTCAAAAATGAAAAATAATGAATTTTACTAGTAAAAATAGGAGGACCAATAGCTAATTTAGTCCTTGTAAAAAGAGAGATGCATAAGTCCCATATGGATTATAGTACCTTGAATAGAGTTAGGAGGATAAGACTAAGGCCTTGTGGCCTCTCTTAACTTTATTCATACTTTTTTTATAAAATATGTAGTGACTAGTGCTATCAATTATAATATTTTAATTGGCCTACACGTATTTATTTTGTTTGGTTTTGGTCTAGATAATTGGACTAAACAAACATCCATCAGACCAAAATGATCTATTGATAATAGAAAGAAGGAATTTATTCATATCAAATTTGTAGTAACTGCTATAATTATATTAGTTGAAACTGTATTTGGTTGTGCATTTGCATCAAACTTACTTTGAAAATTGATTCTATTAGTCAAGACATTAGTATTTATATATAATTTTGTAGAACAAAATAATCCACCATCTTAAAAAGTTCATCTCAAGCAGAGAAAGGATGTATCTCTATTATAAAAAATATATGTAGAACTTTCTAACTAATTCCAAGAAATTGAAACTTTATTAGATATTTTGAAGATATCAATTTATTTATCATTACTTGTCTTTGCTCAACCTATTCATTGGCATCCACCACCTAAAATTATTATCTACATGGAGCTCTTTGTAAGTATTGGTACATATTTGGTGACAATATTAAAAATAATGCTTTTTGTCAGATGGTACATTCAAGAAGATCTTGGGATAAACAACCTTGACATCATATCTAAATGTTGTTAGCTTTATATTCTAAGCAATTAAAAATTTTTGCCATTTTTGGTTGTTTTAGACAACTCTCTCAAGATTTCATCTTAATTAGTAATGAGAATTAGAAGAGAATATGCCATATTAACTTATGAATGATTAAATGGCCTTATCAAGGTTATTCATGTACTAAAGCACATTGTAAGTTGGATGACCTTTGATTTGGCTTATGTACAAATTTGATGCAACTTACAAAATAGTGGTTTACTTATAAAAAATCAACATTATTATATAAATGGAATCATATTTGATTCATCACAAGTTCATAAATATAAATATTTATCAACTTATATAATTAAATAATATTTATACTTAATATAATAGTTAATATAGATTTTATAAAAAAAATATTATAATCATTTTTTATTGTTGATAATTAGACTAATTTCTTATCTTTTTATCCTCCAATCATTTTTAAATTCTATTTGAAAAAAAATTAAAAATATTTATAGTTATATAGAATTAATCATATTATTTTCAATATCAAAGTTTAATACTTTTTTAGCATTGAAATAAGAAATCTAAAATTGAAATATGCCTATTATTATAATTATATAAAAAATAAATAATTAATTAAATAAATAAAATTATTTCTCTAAAATTTAGGTTTAATAAAAAATTAAATAAATAATTGATTATTTTTCTAATAAAATATTTTTCTTCTACATAATACATATATAACTTGTAAGATAATTTATTTGTGTAATGCCATAAATAGTTATTTTTAATATTCATACAAAAAAAAAACTAGCCCAATTTGTTATAAAATCTATAAATATATTATCTCTTAATTATGTATTATTAAAATATTTCAAATATAGCTTTTAATAAATACTAAGCACTTTTGTTCTAAAATATTCTTTATGAAGTTGTACATTGTTTCCAAACAAATTATTGTCTAGTTTTTCTTTAGATTGGATTTGAAGTGTACTTCACCAACCATATTCTTGTTCAATCT